TTCGTATCGTATCAAATACTATCGAATCGTATCGTATCGTAATATGTTATACAGCCTATATAGTAGTAGTACTGTATTGTATAATATTGTATTGTGTATTGTATTGTATAGTATTCTATTCTATTCTATTGTGTTTTATTGTATAGTATAGTATCGTATTGTATAGTATAGTATCGTATCGTATAATAAAGTATCGTATCGTACCGGAATACCTAAACAGCCCCCAGCGAGACCTGTTTTTCTGGATGGCAAACCTGGCTACTTCACCATACAACCAATTTATAACAGTGAGAAAAAGCAAACATGGCGTCACATAGTGCACGTTGATCCAACTATAGCCCCGGTTAGAGTTCAGAAGTTGTTTTTATAAATGGTTGAAAAGATGGATAGATGAATAAATGAATAAATGAATAAATGAATGAATGAATGAATGGGTGGATGAATGGATAAATGAATAAAAGAATGAGTGAATGAATCTTCATTATAACTTTCAAATCAAAACCAGTATTTTCTTTCTAATCACTGTTAGCATCTGTTAAATTCAAACTTAACCTTAACAAAAACATCTTTCATGGGGCTGGACCCCTACTCTGGCTCTCCCTCTAGGCCCCTACTCTGACTCTCTCTTTCTGGACCCTTACTCTGGCTACCCCTTCTGATAAAACAAAAATTTCACACATATTCATACTCTAAAGGGTGACCAGATTACTGACATGATGCCGGGCAAGCAGATGACTGTGGACAGCGTTGTCGGTATCGATAATAAGAATGACATCCTGTAAAAATTATCTTTCATATTTTTTTATTTAAATTTTAAAATTGATACGGTTTAATCTTTAAGGAATGGATAATTTTCTATCGAAAAATATTTCTACAATCTTCGCATGTTTTACTAAATTCTTGTAAAAAGAAATTTTATGATAAATGGTATCCTATTGTATTGTGTTGTGTCGTATTGTATTGTATCGTATCGTTTAGTAATGTAATCTATTGTATTGCATGATTGAGTTGTAATGTGTTGCATTGTCTTGTATTGTACTGTGTTGTATTGTATTGTATTGTATTGTGTTGTATTTGTATTGTCAGGTACATATTTTTACAATTTTTTTTATCAACTTGATAAGTTTCTTTTTAGATTAGATATACCAATAAACTTTGTATTTGATAACAATGATAACTTTACCCTTTGATACTTCTTAACAATTAATGATACTTAATGACACTTAATGATAGAGTTATGGTGATATATTGATACTACTACCACTACTACTACTACTACTACTACTACTACTACTACTACTATTACTACTACTACTACTACTATACTACTACTGCCTTACATCTACTACTACTACTATACTACTACTACCACTACCACTACTATTACCACTACCACTACCACTACTACTACTACTACTACAACTACTACTACCACTACCACTACTACTACTACTGCTACTACATCTACTACTACTATACTACTACTACCACTACCACTACTACTACTACTACTGCTACTACAACAACAACAACAACAACAACTACTACTACTACTACTACTACTACTACTACTACTACTACTACTACTACTACTGCTATACTGCTACTACTACTACTATACTACTGCTGCTGCTACTACTGCTATTAAAACAACTGCTACTTCTAATAAAAATATTTATTATTTCTATTTCATTGTTATAATAAATAATAATAATAATTACAATTATAATTAAAATGAAACAATAAAGGTATTACATTGGAACAAATGGTGATCCAAGCGAAAGACATCTGTTTAAGTGAGATGATCAATCAATCAATCAATCAATCAACCAATCAATCAATCAATCAATCAATCAATCAATCAATCAATCAATCTATCAATCAATCAATCGATCGATCACTCAATCAATCAATCAATCAATCAATCAACCAACCAACCTACCAATCAATCAATCAACCAACCAACCAACCAACAGATCAATCAATCAATCAACCAATCAATCAACCAATCAATCAACCTACCATCTTATTCTTTCTTCAGTCTGACAATGAAACCGCGACCAACAACTACAGCAGCACCAACCACGCCGACAACAACAACAACCACAACGCCAACAACAACACCAACAACAACCACAACAACAACCACAACAACAACAACAACACCAACAACAACCACAACAACAACAACAACCACAACGCCAACGACAACACTAAAAGTACCAGCTAGCAAAAAAAAAGGCATTCGACAAAAACGCCAACTACTACACCGCCATCTTGATTCCATACCAAAGAAAATTAAAAGAATAACCGAAGCGCGCGAAGACAACCAAAGACCAGCCACTGCTAGTGACGTCTGTCTGACGTGCAATAATAATGATTGCAAATATTTTGGCGCCAATTTTGGACCAAACGCCAGGCATTATTTTAGGAATTGTTTGGGGCCAGATGTGCCCAAGTATACCCTGGTGGGGTCGAACAGTAAGTACTAGGGACGGTT